ACAGGACCTGGATCCAGATCTTTCTGGTTCCATGACCTCCACTCTCCCTCCCCCATATTGCCTGCTCCAGAGAAGACAGAAACACTTGCCGATGGTCAGAGAATTGGAAAACAAAAAACAAAAAACAAAAACCCAAAACCTCTCCTCGACAGGATTATTTTCAACAGAAGTCTAAAGTATCCTGCGAAATGTCCTTTTACTTTAACTTCTTCTTTTAATTGTCAGTCCTGGAGAAATTAGCCCAAGAAAGTAATTCAGAAGACATTTATTTTAAAGGCTACATATGTCAAGATTTTCTTGCAGGATTAACTATAATAACAAAAATTAGAAACAGCCCAAGTGCCCAGCAATAAGGAAACAGTGAAGAAAATGCGATGCATGAACTACAGAAGTTTAAAAACAGTCGCGAAGGCCAAGCATAAAAAAGATGCTCAGAATAAAATATGAAGGAAAAAAAGCACATAGCAGCTCTATAAAAATATGTAAACACTTTTAAAAAAAAAAGCGGAATGGGACATTTAAAAAATTTATGACGTCCTCTGATGATTTTGGTATTTTTGGTAAAATACCTCAGATTAAGAGAGAAAAAAAGTGATAACTACTTGGAATATTTATTTAGTAATCTAGAACAAATTGGACTATAATGGTTAGATATTCTGCTTTTTTTTTCTTTCTGTATTTTGAAGCAATTGGGCAACTGAATAATGTGATTTATGCTATAATCCACAAACTCTTATTTTTCTCCTTGGTGCCTTCGTAAGTTTATTGATTCATTAGTTAACAATCTCCAGCCGTGGCAGCCCTCTTTATTTTCTGCTTTTCCCTATCATTAAAGCAAAGTCGGAAAAATGAGCATCTTTCTTTATTTTCAAGATATATTAGTTGACTCATATGAAATTATCATTTTTGTAGGTCCCAAATAGACAAATGTCAGAAATTTCATATGGTCCAACCAGAAAATTTTAACAACGGTAGGATTTTATCTTAAACTGTCCTTGTAACTCATTTTTAATCAGTCTATTTATTCAAACTGCCCTGTCCCCTCCACTAGCTTAATTTCTGGTTGTTTTTTTTTAAGTACTTTGTTTAATACTAAATTCCCCAGAAGAAAGGTCCAACTACGCCACTCCAAGATATGACCTCCCTAAAAAACCATTAAAGTGAATTTAATTGCATGGAAAGGTCTAGATTTCCCTCATTCAGCCACCTTGTAAGTCACCCAACAAATATTCACGGCCTGCTCCAGGCACCGTGCTAAGTGCTAGAATAGTTCCTGAGCAGAGGAATGTCTTTTCCCTCAGGAAACATACACTGTGTCTGAGGCTGGAAGGAGTGGCTATGTGTGTCCGGTTTAGTAACTGATCATTTTGTTTCAATTAACAGATCAAATGACGGGTTTGATTATTTTTTAACCAAATGGTCTGTATGTTTGCTCAGATTGATTAAATCTACTATCACTTTAGTGTTAATAAGAACTAACCTTGGCCCAAGCAGAGAAGAAATGTATTTTGAACTATCGCTGCTATTTATTCAGTTACCTGACCCATAAGTAAATAAGGCTCAGAAAAAAAAGGATTCCCAGGGTGTGTGTCTGGACAAATCTAACGCAAGACAGTTCCCTAAAGGTGCCTGAACCCTAAATAAAACACAAGACACAATGCCCAGGGATTCTCGAAAGTAAAAGTGTATCCAATAAAAAATTAGATTAAATTCGTTAAAGGCAAAAATGAAGGGAATTTTTAAATAGATTCAGCAGTGTTGTTTATTCACCTAAGCAAGTACTTCCCAGGACTGTTTCAGGGTGGTGTTTGAAGCAGCAGATGGGAAACAGGCCAGCAAGTCTGAGAAAGGTCAAAGTGAAAAATGAGGTACCTCCTCTGGGTGAGCAGAGTCAGATGACCAGAGGTCGAAATAAACCACTGGTGAAAATGCCTTCGATGAAAGATTTGTCCTGGCATCGCTTAGATGCTTCCCTCAAGTCTAGCTCCAGGCAGTTTAAGCAAAGATCTGGTTTCAAGAAGTATTCATTTAAATACCCTGGTCACTGTGCACCCACACTACGCATTTGGCTGCCAAATCTGGATGGTGGCCCTAACCAGTGACGACCAGGTGGACCTTGTTCTAATTTGCTCCCCTTAACTGTTTATATTCTATATATTGTCAGTCACATTTTTCACCTGGGGAGAAAATCCCCTACAGAATAAATGTCTTAAAAACCAAAAAATGGTAGCTGTAACGCTCATCCTATGACCCACCAAAGCTTTGCTTCTTGCTCACGGTTGGACCTACGGCTGGGAGGGATCACCGCTGCGTTCCTGTGTTGTTACGGATGTGCTCAGAAATCAAAAGACAGACGAGCTGGACTTCAACAGATGGAGAAAATGCCCAGTGCTGCTTTACAACACAAAGGAGAGCAAATTAAGAATCCTAACCGTGGGTTTCCATTTCCTGTTCCTGGATCTTGAGAACAAGAAAACAGGCCAGGATTTTATAACAGTAACAACACAACTTCCATGTATTGACTGTCTAGTATCTGTCAGGCACATTACATTTACTTTTCTTTTTCACATCTCTGCATGAAGATATTCCTAACTTTAGAGGTGAGACAGCTGAGGCCCAGAGAGGTTAAGTTACTTGCTTAAGGTTGCACAGCTGGGAAATTGGCAGCCATGTGATGGGCCTGGCTCTTCCCACCCCGTCTGTTTCTCTAAAAGCAGAGCTGCTCACAAGACTAGAAGCCTGCATTTCGTGAGGCTTGGTGTCAGAGCTGCATTTCCTTGCTGGAGAAAGGACAAAGGCCTCACTGGCCACCATGAGGCCAGGAGTTAGGGGCACTGAAAAGTTGAGGGCTCCGCAGGCAAGGGTGCCCATGCCTTTAGGCACGCCATCTTAGTCTCTTCCAGCCTTAGACCCTGGTGACCGTCTTGGCAGACTCACCAGAGAGACCTCCTCGGACAGACAGAGTCATAATTTGCTTTAATCGGAATGCTCTGGGCATTTCCAAGGAAATGCAAATAGAAAAGTCTTAGTAAAAAGATGTTTTAAAAGGGTTTGGATGAACACAACATTGGAAACCGACTGTATTTCAATTAAAAAAATAAAATAAAAATGAATTAGCATGACAAAAAAAAATAGGGTTTGAGGGTGAGTAACTTAATTGAGCAAGGAAAGAGGGAAGACCTCAGCGCCAACTCCGCCAGCAGCCTTTCCTCCGGAGGAAATCATACATGGTGTCCTGTTTAGGCAACACGGATGCCGTTTGCGGCCCTGGGTGTTAAAGGCCTCTCTAAATCTCCCTTGCCTTCCCTCAGTGGGGTGAGGACAGTTTGAAAAACTTCCGTCCAGGAGCCTTTATCTAAAAAGAGCTGAAATTTCCATCTCTACCCCTGCAGAGCACTGAAGGATGAATCTAGTTTTTCCTCCTGTGCGCTCTTCGTGGAAATGGGGCATGGCCCCCATCTTGTCTGCCGGGTGGGGTTCTGTTTGCCACTCCTGGCAGCTACCACCACCCTCGCAGCTTCTTTCTCTTCTAATTCCATTGCCCCCGCCTTGGCCCCAAGGCCCAACACAGATAGACCCCTGAGGAAACGTCACGTGATGCAATTATCTCCCAAGTGCAGCCCCCAAACCTGAGGCCCAGGGTCTGAATCCACTGCTGTCAGCTGTTCCCCTCCACAAATCCCTGAATCACAGGCTGTGACGGCATCACGGGTCCTCTGGAGCCCCGCACACAGGACGGGCTGCTCTGGGCTCATTCTGGTGTCCTTGCCCCCAGCAGCGCATGACTCATCCCCAGCAGGCCCTTCTGAGAAGAGAGCTGTGATCTTACAGAAAACCCCGCCACGGCTTAGTCCTCGAAACCCCCGAGGCGCTAGGCCGGGGCTGTGCCGTGTTCCCGGCAGCAACAGAGGTGCCAGTGGCCTCTCCTGCCCCCAGCATTGTCACCAGACACCCTCCCACACCGAGGTGAGCTGCAAAGTGGACGGACGACGTTGGTTTGGGACCCACCCCCTCAACACTTGAGATTTAAATACAGTTTGTCCCGTTTCCTGTAAAAATGCCAGGTCGCCGAACCCCGGACGGAGTCCATTTTGTCTTCTTTTTACTTCACCTCCTCATTATCTGGGCTAGAAAACCCAGCAGGAGTGAAAGGATTCTAGAAAAGCCAGGCTTCAAGGACTGGAGCCAAGTGAGGAGTAGGTTCTCTTAAGGGCTGGTTGTTACCCATGGTGGTGCCTTAAGTCACATCCTTTCATCTGTCCCTTACGTTCATGTTCTGCCAGCATCTCTGGCTTATTTGGCCTCAGATGAGAGCTGCCAGGGGTGGTGGGTGAGTCACTGAGGCTGGGATGGGTGTGTCATCGGGCTGCCCTTGGCTGTGCGTGTGGGCAGCCGTGTCAGAGCCGAGCCCAGACGTGGACCCTGCGCAAGGCCACATCCCTCTTCCGTTAACCCCAGTCAGTCCCTAGCCCATCGAAGCCTCAAGTCAGCCAGTCAACCCTCTCTGACCAATGAATGAAATGTTCTTTGTTGGCCAAGGAAGAAGGAAAGGGGCCGAGTGACGGAGCCAGCAAGGTGGTCAAAGAAGACACAGAGGCTAGAAAAAAAGGTCTCAGCTGTCTTTCTGGTCCCACCCAGCTTCAGTTAAATACCACCCCCCCTCTTCTCCACACAGGCTCTGCCTCAGTTCCTCGTTGTCTTCCCACCACCGCAGACTTTTCTCTCTCCTTTTATCACTGGAAAAATAATCCATGCTTTGGACAAGTGTGTTTTCAAGCAGCTGGATCTAATCTGATGCCCAACGTGGCCGTAATGGAGCAGTTGCCGGCATCAAGCCAGACCCCTCCCGGCTCAGCCAGCTGCCCGTTGATTTGGGGAGGACGGGATTTAAAGGAGACACTGGCTCCTCACCAACCCAGTGCTATTTCCCTCCACCCCCACCCCCCCAACACACATGCACAAAGAGTTTCTAAAAGTTCCATCGAAACATCCGGCCTTACCTGTAACTGGAAGCTGCGCCTGCAGGATGGCCAGGATAATGAGCACCGTCCACTTCATCTTGTCCTTCCCCAGGATAGAGCCGGGAGCCAGAGGCTGAGGCAGTTGTGGCTGGACGAAGAGGAGAAAAGGAGCCTCTGCCGGCTTTGCTCCGCTGCTGCCTCCTCAGGAAGTGGAGGACGATGGGGCCTTTGAGAAGGCACCTGCCAACGGGGCCAAGAAACTCACCCCCCCTCTCGGTTCATAGGCAGGAAGCTCTGGAGGTTTGAGGGTTTGGGGTGTGTGTATGTGTGTGTGTGTGTGTGTCTTTCTGAACTTTTGCTGCTTCTCTTATTTAACCGTTGTTTTGTTTTGTTTTTTCTAATTTTTGTCTCATTTTTCTCTAATTCCTATCTTGATCGTTGAAGTCAGTCCCCTAGACAGACATGAGTTCCCAGTGCCTGTAAGAACATCTGCCACTTTCCTAGATCCGTATATTTTATGGTGTTTGGTCAGATGACAGAGCTCTGGATTCAGAGTCAGGCAAAATGTGAAGACAGAATATTTGGGCGTTAGCGCCATCTCTGCTACCTACTTGCTGTGCAGCCTTGAGTAAGTCACTCAACAGCTCTCGACTTCAGCATCCTTACCTATAAGGCAAATTGCTGGAGTAGAGCTGAGGTTTTGGATCTGAATTTGGCCTGAATTTGGACCATAGGTTAGTTCAAGATAGTATAGCTCATATAATACTTCAAATACTTTTGTGAGTTGTCAGCATTTAAACGTTGGACTCATTTATGATAATAAAAAAACGTAAATAACAGGAAATAAAGTTAATAGAAAGTGTAAGAATAGAAACTTTAAAACATTCCTTAAGAATACAGAAAGGACTTGGGTAAATGGAAAGGTGTATCCCGGTCTTTGTTATAAAGTGCCCTCTTAAGAAGACCTCGATTCTCCCTAAATTAATCAATCCATCCCTCTAAAGATGTCAACGAAAGTTTTAGAACAAGATAAGCTGGTTCCAAAGTTTACATGAAAAAATTCTTGTACACAAATAGGCAGGACACCAAAAGCATAAGCAAAGAAAAAAAATAGGTTAACTGGACTTCATCAAAATTTAAAACTTTTGTGCATAAAGGACACTATCAAGAAAGTGAAAAGACAATCCATAGAAAGGGAGAATTTTTTTTTTTTTTGCAGGGGGAGGAAATTAGGTGTATTTACTTGTTTTTTTTTTTTTTTGATGGAGGCACTGGGAATTGAACCCAGGACATCATGCATACTAGGCATGCACTTTACCACTGAGCTGTAACCTACCCACTAGAAAGGGAGAAAATATTTGCAAATCATATACCTATAAGGGTCTAGTATTTAGAATATATAAATAACTCAACCAGGAAAAAATTAAAAATCTTTCAAAGATCTGAATAGACATTTCTCCAAAGAAGATATGCTAATGGCCAATGAGCACATGAAAAGACGCTCAGTATCTTTGATCATTAGGGAAATGCAAATCAAAATTACAATGAACTGTTACTTCACACACACTTAGGATGGCTAAAGTTTAAAAAGACAGACCAGTGTTAGTGAGGATGTGAAGAAATTGGAACTCCTGTACATTGCTGCTGGGAATGCTGAATGGTGATGAAGCCCTTGTGGAAAATAGTGTGGCATTTCCCCAGAAAGTTAAATAGAATTATCATATGATGCAGCAATTCTACTCCTAGGCATATAATCAAGAGAATTGAAAATGTGTCCATATAGAAACTTGTACTTGAATGTTTAGAGCAGCTACTATCACATAGTAGCCCCAAACTGGAAACCCTAATGTCCACCAACTGAGGAATAGGTAAACAAATGTGGTATATCCAAACAATGGAATATGATTCACCCCTAAAAGGAAGCATCATTACATGTTGTAACATGGGTGAACCTTGGAAACAGTGTGCTAAGTGAAAGAAGCCAGACACAAAAGACCACATATATGATCCCGTTTATATGAAATGTCCAGACTAGGCCATAGAGACAAAAGTAGATTAGTAGTTTCAGAGGATAAGGAAAGAGGGAAATTGGGACTAACTCTTAGTAGGTACAAACTTGCTTTTGGGAATGATGGAAATGTTTTAGAATGAGCTAGTTGTGAAGATGTACAATATAGTGAATATACTAAAAACCACCAAACTGTACACTTTAACATGGTAATTCTTAAGTGAATTATATATCTTGATACAAAAATAATGCTAAAAAAGCAAAGAACAGCCAGGAAAACTCTATAAAAGAGTAAGGAGAGTGAAATCGCCCTGCCAAACACTGAACATTACAAAGTGATATGATTACCATATAGTACTTGTGATACTATAAACTCAAACATATGGTCACTAGTTTTTTGATAAAAGTGTAAAGAAAATTCAATGGACAACCAACTGGGTAACTTTATGGGGAAAAAATTAATCCTTATTTTACACCATACACAAAAATTAATTAAAATAATTCATAGGCCTATATGTAAAAAGTAAAAACCATAAAACTTCCGGAAAAAATAGGAGAAAAATCTTTATGGTAGAACACAGAAAGCACAAAGTGTAAGAGAAAAATAATTGATAAAATAATTCATAAAATTAAAAACTTTGTTCATTGAAAAACACCATTAAGAAAATGAAAAAGCAAGCCAGAGACTGGGAGAAATTATTTGCAAACACATAAAGCAGACAGAGGACTTATACCCAACATATATAAAGAGCTCTTTCAACTCAATAAGATTATTAACTCAGTAAGAAAATGAATAAAACATTTGAATAGAAAATTACCCAGAGAAGATAAATGAATGGTTAGTAAGCACATAAAAAGATGCTAAACATCACTAATAATTAAAGAATTACAAATTAAAACACAATGAGATATCACTACACACTTATTAATACAGCTAAATTTAAACAATTGGCCATATAAAGTGTTGACAAGGATGTGGAGGAACTGGAACTCTCATACATTGATAGTGGAAATGTACAATGATAAAACTTTGGAAAACAGTTTGGCAGTTTATTAAAAAGTTAAACATACAGCTACCATACGATCCAGCCACTATACTCTTAGGTGTCTACCCAAGAGAAAAGGAAATACATGTCCTAACTTGTATGTGAATCTTCTTAGCAGCTTTATTTGTAATAGCCCAAAACTGGAAACCACCCAGATTCCATCAATAGATGTAAGGATAAACAAATTATGGTATATCCATATTATTGAAATTACACTCAATAATAAAAATGACTAAACTGCTAGTAATACAACAACATTGTTGAATCTCAAAATTATACTGAGTGAAAGAAACCAGGTAACAAGTACATATTGAAAGATTTCATTTATATAAAATTCTAACACTGTGACAAAGGGCTTAGTTCCTTTATCCATAAGGAGCTCCTAAACATTGTTCAATTACAACAAATAGTTTTGAGTGCCTATCATGTGCCAACCACTGTGCTAAATGCTAAAGATACAGCTGGGAGGGAAACAAAGAATCCTCATCCTCATGAAATTTTCAGGCCTGCAGAAGTCTAAAAACACATTAGAAAATGAGAAAAGAACTTGAACAGAAAATTCATGGAAAAGGAAGTAGTAAATGGCTTTTAAGTGAATGAAAAATGCTCAGTATCACTCATAATAAGATAAATCAAAATTAAAACTACAATGAATACACTTTTTTTAACCTATCATATTGGTATCAACCACTTCACTGGGTTCCATCCTCTCTTGCCTCCCAAGGACATTATTCCAGAAATTTTCTCCCCTTGCATAATAGTTTTTTCTTCTAAATTGAATCATTCTTGTCAGTATACAAGTATGTTATTTCTCCCATCTTTAAAAAACCCTTAAAGATTTGAAAAAACATTTGCATTCTGGAGCTTGCCATAGTTCTCGCAGCTTTGGGAATCCACTAAGCTAATCCAGGCTTCTCCATGGGAAGAAGAATTAGCCTGACACAGATACATGACTCAGCGGACAGCCAGCACTAAATTCCAGGTAAGTGAGCAAAGCTATCTTAGATCATCCAGTCACAACACAGCCACCAGAGGACTGCAGCCATATGAATGAGCCCAGGTTAGGCTAGAGCACCGCTTAACTGAGCCCAGCCTAAGTTGCTGGCCCACAACAACACCTGAAACAATTGTTCTACGTCACTAAACTTGGGATGGATGTTACACAGTGGTAGATAACAGAAACACTCAGTGTCCCTATACCAGTCTCAGGAAACGATCTCATTGGTTCAGCCTGGGGCTTATGCTTACCTCTTGGATCAACCATTGTTTCCAGGGGGACAAGACAAGATTGGAGATGGGACACTAGGATTAACAGTCCTACCAGAATCATTTGTTATGGAAGAAAGAAAGGGAAAGGATTCAGGGCATATATAAAACAGTAGCTGCCCACTGCTGCCAGCCTTGCTCTGGTGAGTGCAGTGGAAGGGGGACGGGGACCCAGAACTAGGCCCACACTTTGCAGAGGACACAGGGACGGGAGCTGAGGGAAGGTCCAGGTAGAACATGATGACCAGCAGCTGTGAGTTCCTAGTGGGAAAGCTCTGGCTATTCCTCATGAGTGAATCTTTAGCTCCCAGTACATTGTGGATGGATGTGTGAGTAGATGAATGGATGGATGGTGACATCAGGGATGGCAGGAAATCCAACACTGAGGAGGAGGCTGCCTCAGCTGTTGAGAAAGACACAGCAAGGGAAATCCAGACACTGCTAAATGGAGCAATTCCAAGCCTCCTGATCACCAGAAAAAGAAGCACAAAAAAGAGGTTTGACTTCTGTCCTTTGGGGTTTCTAGAGGCAGTCACTCCCAAGCTTTCTCTGATGAGGGACCACTTCTCCAGGGTTTGGGGACTCAATGTTCATATACTCTTCAGCTGACTGGTCTCAGACTGACAAGCAGCTGTTTCCTGAGGGGTCTCTGTTGGAGCAGAAATGGCCAGCAGTCCCTGCAGGACCCCACCCAAACAGCTCAGTGGGGCTTGTCTTTGCAGCCTCACCATGCTGCACCCAGAACTTAATTATCTTATAACTGTGAGTTTGTACCCTTTACCAAAATCTTCCTGGACGTTCGTGGGTTGGCTGGGAGGACCTGCAGGCAAGGCATCCCCCATGGTTCATGGTCTGGCTTCTTGATGGTGCCCACAACTCACTTAGT